GCCTCCTGATCTGAATATGTATAGGACTGTTCCCACAGGGCCAAATCATAACTTTCATTGTTCCTTCTAAGAATGTTATTAGATTGGGATTACTTACCAAAGTCTGTGAGAAATAATATTTGATTATTGTTTTAATGACTTATTATTAGCATAAAAAGTGTCCCAGTAACACCTTTTACTGTAGTTCGCCTTTCTGTTGGAGGTCAAATTCTGAGGACACCTCAGGCAGAATGTGACTGAACACTCAAACGGAAGTAACTCTGGTGACCAGCCTGCTACATGGAACTCTTCTGTGGGAGTTTTGCCAGTGATCAGTGCAATGAAATGACTGGGGAGCTGGACGATGGTTACAGAAATTTTGAGATGAAGGTTTTATCTAGTCTGGTGTCCTTCTGTGTACTGATGGAGAAACTGAGAGCCAAGCTAGTGAAGTAATTTGCTCAGAATCATTCTCGTTATGCCTTCTGACATCAAGAACCTTATTTTTTCTTAGTGCCTCCTTTAAGAGCCTTGCTCTAAGAACCATTATGTGCTTTCTGGTTAAAGTAACTTACTCCGCTATCTAATTATGCTGTCATTTGGAAGAGCTGCTGATTTTTGTCACTTAGTCCAGTCAGCAAAGCTTTGATTCCTGCCTTTTATATCTTTGCCTGTGCTTCAGTGAGCAGAGGGTAGAGGTGACCTGATAGTCTCTTTTACTGCAATTTGGGAGTTTTAGTGAAGAGTAATTAAAAAGCCTGATAGGTATGGTTTTACTTGAACTGTAAGTAGTTTAGGTATTATTTCTTAGAGTTCTTTTTTATAAATTGATAATAAAACTTTTAATTACTATGAAGCAGTTTCATATATATTATGAAACATCTCCATATATATATTTATGGAAAGAGAGATAGAGGGACAGAGATAGAAATTGTGAGACCCTTCAGTCAATTTTATTTTTTATTTTAAAGATTATTTTTTCAGAGAGAGAGAGAGTAGGGGGAGGGGGAAGAGGGAGAGAATCATCAAGTAGACTCCCCGCTGAGCACGGAGCCCAACACGGGGCTGGGTCCCACCATCTTGAGATCATGACCAGAGCTGAAACCAAGAGTTGGACGCTTAACCAACTGAGCCACCCAGGTGCCCCTACCCTTTAGTTAATTTAATTTAATTTTTTTTTTAAGATTTTTTATTTATTCATTCATGAGAGACAGAGAGAGAGAGAGGCAGAGGGAGAAGCAGGCTCCCAAGGAGCAGGGAGCCTGATGCGGGACTCGATCCCAGGACCCTGAGATCATGACCCGAGCCAAAGGCAGACGCCTAACCATCTGAGCCACCCAGGCGCCCCCTTTAGTTAATTTTAAAGTAATGAAAATGAAAAGCTATTCTTGAATGAGATGTGAAAGTGATAGTGCATCTAGAACTTTTCTTTCAAGATAGATTTACAGCTACACTTAACAACGTTTTTCTGGGCATCTCATCAGACTATTATTTCATAACATCATCCCTCCTTTCTCCCCTTCTCTGGCCTCCAAGTACCTCCACTGTGAGGGGCCATCCTGTTGCCCACACTAATCCCTGTGTTTGTTATCTGGAGAAAGATCTTTACCTTGTCATTACTTGAGGGGGGTAAAATGAGCGCTGTCATCACCAGTCTTAGCTGCCCTACAGGCAGGATTAGTCGTTGTATCCATGGTAATTAAAATGAAGCTTTTTAAATTTTAATTTCTAAAAGTAGCTATTTAATTCACTGATACAAAAGTCAACCTGTCGGTGAATTCAGCACAGTCTGAAGTGTTATGAGACCATAATTAAAAGCTGGTATATAATGGTACATAGACCAGCTTTAGCAAGTGAGTTTCATGTTCGATTTGTGGAAATCTGGCACCAGTGGAGCTGACACTGGTCAAAATTTTTTAATAAACTTTATTTGTATTTGATTATTCCTTTAAGAAACTTAAGGTCTACTTAGTGTTTGTGATAATACATTTTTTAGATCAGCCTATTTATTTATTTTTTATTTTTATTTTTTTTAAAGATTTTATTTATTTATTTGAGAGAGAGAATGAGAGACAGAGAGCATGAGAGGGAGGAGGGTCAGAGGGAGAAGCAGACTCCCTGCCGAGCAGGGAGCCCGATGCGGGACTCGATCCCGGGACTCCAGGATCATGACCTGAGCCGAAGGCAGTCGCTTAACCAACTGAGCCACCCAGGCGCCCTAGATCAGCCTATTTAAAGAGTACTTTAAATGAAAGGGTACTTTTTTTTTACTAATTGTATCCCCTCAAACACACAGATTATTATGCTTCATCACTTAATATAAAGGAAGCACTTTTTGAAGTCTTCTCTACCCCACACCCGGACCTGCCCATTAGGCTTATCTAGTGTTGGTTTCTTAAGAAGATGGTATCTTTTTTGATATTATCAAAAGGTTTTGGGGGAAATGGTTCTCTTTTCTGTCATAAGGTTTGATGCCCAAAATGTAGCTTGAAGAAAATTACTGTTGTCATTTCAGTGCATATTATTAAATCAGATACAAATAAAACACTTTCTAATATGTAAAACTCTCCCCTGATTTTTCTACTTTTCTGCATAACCTCTCAGTGCTTTTCAGTTCTCATGGTACTCTTACAAATTGGCTCCATACTCTCTCCAGTATTTTAAGAGCATTAACTCAGAGGAGAAGCATAAATTCGCAGCAGAGGTGCTTGGTGCTCCCTTGTGAAGCGTTCGTTGCCAAACAGGTTAAGTTAGCACTTTCATCTCATCTTCCTGTCAGTAGTAGCAGCAGCAAGATCCGCAGTTGTATCACTGCTTCTGCTAATGTCACTACCACCTCCACGGCCACTCAGAGTCAGGGAGAGGTTCTCCAGGGGAAGAAGTGGGTACATTGGGCTGGGAAGTAGAAAACTGTAGCCACTGCAGTGCTTTCTGGTATATGTGTGCTATATATAATTTTGTTATTATATAAAAACATATTTTACTATATATGTTATAACTCTAAATAATATAAATATGTGTAAACATCTTACATACTATAAGTATACTGTATATAAATATATGGCTGTATATATATGTGTTACCATTATAATATATTTTATAATATAATATACAACTGCTGTGTATGCCTTACTCCCCACTCTTCTGTTCTCCATATTCTGGCTATACCTTTTATTGCGTTTTACCTTCCCAAACATTTCTTTTTAGGAGACTTCTCAAGAACCAGATTTAGATTTTTATTTTTTTTAAAGATTATTTATTGAGAGAGAGGAGCGGAGGGAGTGGGAGGAGCAGGCTCCCCACTGAGCAGGGAGCCCGACGTGGGGCTCAATGCCAGGACCCTGGGATCATGACCTGAGCTAAAGACAGATGCTTAATGGACAGAGCCACCCAGCACCCCCCGCCCCCCCGCCAAATTAGATTTTTAAAAAACCCAAAACGCCAAAGTTGAAGATGGACATGCATTAAAGAGAGGTCACCATATTCTTTCAATACTTCAAGGCTGTTTTTCCTTCAGTGCTTCTTGTGATTCAGTACAGGGATTTTTACTAGAAAGTAAAGTGAAGCTACAGCTAGGACTAAGCCTATGGAATGTAATGCTCACATTCCTAAGGTGATGACCGTTTGTACTACAGTAAAGATTTATTTTTAAAATAAGTTTTATTAAATATGTACATGCTTTTAACATGTTAATTTTTAATCATGTGCAGTAACTTGTAAGTGTGCTCTGAAGAAGGTTGTATTAATTTTTGCATTTTATAAATGACCAAAATGAGGTATAGATAGTGTTGGATGGAATCATAAGGAAGTTTGTAATGTAAGTGATGATGATGAAAAAGAAGTTGAGGTCATTTGTTAGGTGATTATAAGATTACTTTAAATTATTAATGTGCATTTGTTTGTAGAATGATAAGAATATTACTACTGCAACCATTAGAATGAAAAGTAGATAAAGTGGGAGTAGGCAATTGGAGAGACAGAAGTTGAATTTCTGAAACTACAGTGTTTTTCAGAGAGCGAATGGCTAAAAATGTCTGCATTTACTGAATAGAGACACATACCCTACATATTAGAGACAAAGGAAACAAATGATGTGGCCTGCTTTACCTGTTTTCTACTGATAAGTAAAATTGAGCATCACTACTGTGAGAAGACATATGGAAATACAGCACATGGCAATAGAATCTCGAATTCTTTTGTCTGCTGCTGCTGAACAGTTGAAATGTAGTCATTATTGGAAAATTGACCAGTGCTTCCATTACAAATCCCCACGCGTCCTTCTTTATTACATTCTAGGTCTCATTTTTGTTCTACTTTCTCTTGGTTTCTACCCTCTTACCTAGCCCTTCATTTGCATTTGTTAAATGGATTTAAAGATACGAAATTTTAAGGAAAAGTTTCCTTCAATTGTGATATATGATACTTGGAAATGTACATCCTAAAGCAAGTGGCAACCTGGATTGACTTTCCTTAGTGGAGTTCTACCACCACCCCCTTATTTTATTTTTTTGTGGTCTTCCTCTGGTGGCGTTGTCGTCATCATTGTCATCATGATCATGTGACTCTTTGGGAAGTTTCCTAGCTACTTAAGTGGAATTCACTATTTAAAAAAATGTGTTCAGTATAGTTCTCCTGATTTTTCCCTATTATTTTTTCCTTGAAAATCCCTCACAACTACAGTGCTATCTGAAATCTATGTTAGACTGGTTCCTTATAGCTTGTGTCTTTTTTTTTTTCTCCTGCATGTTAATCCTTGGTTTCCCATGAATTTCATTTGCATTTCTTCTTTTCTCTCATGAATTTTTATTTCTTATTTTTCCCCAAAATCAAGACATTTATTAAGAGACCAAAATACTATAGAGTTTATATGCATTTGATTATTTGTCATCTTTAATGTCAGGAAGGTTGCATTTTATTTAGTTGCAATATGTGATTAGCTGTGCATAAATACCTAAATACCCAGAATAACTGTGTATAAACTAGTTTACTATTGCTGAAAGCTTCTTTCTTAATCTCTCCAGGAAAGAAAGGAGAGGCTATCCAAATTTGAGTCTATTCGTCATTCAATTGCTGGAATAATTAGGTCTCCAAAATCGGCACTGGGCTCTTCAACAGTAAGTAGGATGAACTCTATGTTCTAGCTTGTTTCTGATAAACAATGAATATCATATGTAAATTTGTCCTTACAAATAGAAAACTAAGTACATAATATAATTTTTATATGCATATGAATCTGTTCATACATGTATATAGTAAATTCCATGTAACACTGATATAGGGAGGAAAGAAATAAACTTGTATTCTGGACTTTCTGTACTACATATAAATAATTATAGGAAACATTTTAGTTATTTTGAGGCTTTATATTAGAAGAAGAGCATAGACAAAGTTTTTTCCAGTGAAACATATTTTTATAATAGGGACTATTGTATATGTATTTTTAAAATGTATCAGTTTATATGTGTGTTCATATTTTTGAGAACATTTTAATTATTAAATTGAAGTCTATTTGAAATTTGGATTTGGCATGTCACGGTGCTGCACAAAATATTACAAATCCCTGGTAACAGCAGCTATAGCCATGCAAGATAAAGTATATTCTTTTTCCCTTTATATAGTAAAATTTTAAAATATTTTTCTTACTTCATTACCTTTAAGACTAAATTAACAAACTTTTTTTCCTAGCTATCCCTCATGCACAACAGAGCTTTAGAATGATAATGAATGATGGTCAAAACAACAATATTCACTACAAATATTATGTGCTCTGCCCCAATCTTTCCGAGTTTCTACATAATAATAGCCTTATGTTATTTCTTACTCTTTTAAAAGTTCAGCTGCTTAAAATAACATGACCTAGTCTTATTTAGAAAAACAAGGTGTTTCCTAACCACAGATTAGTTAAATGTCCATTCACATTTCAGATTTATTTCCTATAATTCCTTTTTAATATGTAACACATGTTCCCATATTTATTCCACTCAAGCAACACTCTTTTATACACAATTGAGGCAAAGCATCAGGTATTTTAATTAACAAAAAAGAAGAAAATTTTATTTTCATATAAAAGAGATTTTCTACTTCAGCGTTAGCCTTTGATGCTGCTATTATTACTTCCGACCTCCAGAAGTGATCTATGGCAATAGGGAGGGGCCGTGAAGTAATGCAGACCATCTCCCCTGGCATTGAATAGCAAATACAAAAATAATAATTTTAGGCAAAAACTACATGGTAGAGTAAGTCTCTTTTAAGGCCCTATCCTAATCTTGTTTTCTTAAGTTAATGATTTATAACTTCACAGATAAATAGTAGTTTATAGGACTTGGTTTATTATGATTTGACATTCAAAATAAAGTATGGGAGGCTTGATTAGGAATCCATGATATATTCTAGAGACTATGAGGACAGGTTTTGATGACTTAGAAGAAAAGAAAAAGAGTTCTTGAAAAGAAATATTTATTTATTTATTTTTAAAGATTTTATTTATTTATTTGAG